CCTCCACATGACTCATCAGGTGACCACGAAGTGACAAAAACCCAACCCCACCAGTCAATACAGGAAGCCTGACCCTATCCCAGGCTTCACCTCGTTGCCTGCTCTGGGTGAAAAACAAGCCCCACTGGACCTTGAAGAGTGAGGCTCTCTTGAGCCAAGACCATTAGGACAGTGGTCTCTACACTTTCATCCATCTTCCTATTGTAGAATTATTAGCATTTTTCTCTGCATTTGATGAAGATAAACCTAACCAAGGGCCTAGAACAGAAGATCAACACTAGAACCCAATAAAGACTGGCTCACCTTTGGAAATCACAGCTGGCCAAATCTCCAGTTCATCCATACAAGCTATGGAGAGGATACTTAACTAGATACCTTTCTCTCTTATCTCCTTAAAACACTTTTTGGCCAGAGATTCACTGTCCAGTGTAGAATCATAGAGGAAGAGATTTCTTTCTGGCCACCAGTACCTGAGCCACCTTGAGTCTATAATGCTTGTTGTCGTGGGGGAAAAAAAAACTTGGAAGTTTTTCATTAAGCATAGACTGAATTATGGAATTAGATTGCTAAGTTGTAAGCCCCTTCAGTATGTTAAGAGAATTCAGTAAAATAAAATTGTTTAAGTATCCTTAAACATTTATACCATGTGGTAGCCACAAAGAAAGGAACTATGAGTAAGAGTCTCAGCCTCACCATAGCAATCTCAGCCATCTTCAGTGATGGGACACACTGGCACGCGCCTCTGATCAAAACCCTAACAGCTACCCTCAACATTCAGTCTTCTTGACAAGGATTCTTATACCAGAGCCTTCTCAGACGGGAGCCAGTGAGGAGTCTAGATTGTTTTGTGGATTATCCTACCTTTTGGATTAGCTGGTCAAAATTCACTCATGGTGGGTAGGGTTAGTGTAGCTCTTTTCTAGCAGGTGGGCAGAAGTGATTAGAGGTTATCAAGATGAAGACCCTACTTGAAATTGGACCTTGTCTATTCATACCACCTTCATATGGACAGAACAGTATGAACATGTGGAAAATGACCAACTCTTTACTGACCAGAAATGTTTTGGGTACGGCCCATGCAGCAGGTGCAATTCATCTAAGGCTCTGGGGTCTTGCACTGACTCAGCATGTCACCAAGAAGTGGCAAAACCAGACCCCTCTGGTCTCACTTGCCTGTTTGTCTCAAGCCCAGTTAGAGTTCACCTTGAGGAATGAGGCCCTCTGAGCCAAGAGGGCATCAACAGCAGTCTTTCTGCCATCACCTGGCTTCACCTTCTAGACTCCTTTGAAAATGCGGAAGATACTGAGGCCTAGAGCAACCAAGAGATTTTGCTGCAAGCTTTCCAATATCTTAGCAGTTACTTCAGTTCATCCTTCACATGTCAGCTACTCTTCTTGCTCTGCCTTGGCAGAATCACCAAAAAGGTATTAGATGGTAACTGAGGTCAAATGTTTTTACAGGAATTGGGGATGGTTAGGGTTGGGGTGGGGTGGGCAGTCAGGCAGTGTCTGTTCTTCCATTTTCTACAGAACACGAGGGGTGTGTGAACAGAGGAACTGAAAGCCTCTACAGAGCTCCATCCATCTGTAAGATGGATGTCATTCATAGATGAATGACTAGAGTAAAAGCTGAACAACCCTATGATTAAGGAACACTTGTCAACTGGCCACATGTATAGGGCCGCCGTTTGTATTGATTTACAACATCTAAGAAAACTGATGCTTTTGAGAATTCAAAGTTTGCACACAACTCCTTTACCACTGCACTGAGGTACAATCAGTGTCATCTAATAACTATTAGATACTACTATGAAGTTAGAGTTTGGATGTATGTGGCAATATGCTGCAGAAATAGAAGTCATAAGGTTGTATTGAATTAGTTGATGGGTCATACTTGAATGCTGAAACTATTCTGTGTGGCTTTTAGGTTTTCTGTAACAGTCTGAGACAGCTAAAAACAACCCCTTTCCAAGTCACTAGAAGATCAGTGCATGGTGCATGAAACTGCACAGGGTACGAGTCTCCAGATGTTTTTACTTCTCCCAAGGGGCTGACTTGTCCATGTCACTTCGTTCAAAACAAAGGAGAATCTCAGGTTTCACAGGAATTCCATGCTGACCTTCTACATCGAAGTGTTACCTTAGTATTCTGAAAGCTCTTTGCTTACTTTTTGCTAATCAGGAAGTGTTTGAAGGGTCTGCTGTTGACTTAAATCTACATTTATACTGGGACAAGGGCCAGCCCTTCATGACTACTTGTCAGGTCCCTTCCTGACAGGGGATGCACCCTATCCAATATGGTGGGGAATCTAAGTGCCAATACAAGTAAGGGTCTTGCCTACCAGTCTGCACACTGAGGTAGCCTCCAGAATCCAGCTGAGGAAGATCCAGGGAGCAGTGGCACCCACAGGGACACCCTGGCAAGTATACACTGGAGCCCCGCACTCCTGTGGGACAGATTTCCATCATACCCTCAGTTGTCAATGTCCTTCATCTGAGAAACATGTTGAGATTCTCACAAAACTAAGGGGCAGGGGACAAATCAGCCTGCAGACTGTTCTTTCCCTCCACACTGTTGGAGTCCTGAGGTTCAGTTTACCATATGAGTCTAAGGTAGATGCTACTCCCTGCCCTGAGCCTCAGCCTTCCTATGCCCAGCTGCCAAGGGCAGTTTCTTGCCAGGTTCGGCATTGACACAGATGCATTTCCCTGAAGACATGGTGAGAATTTTAGTCAGCAGAGCAATTAGATGCTGGGAATTTATGTAAATGCAGCAAGTGTTCACTGCTTACCCTTCTAGTTGTATGCCAAGAATTGTTAAGTCATGAGTGCCTCCAGCATGGTTCCTCCTGAGCAAGCTCATTTTTGGCCTTTCTCAGGCTTCTGACCAAGCTAAGAGGACCAGAAATGAGCAAGAACTTGGAGAAATGTGTAAGAAAAGCTTAAGGAGCTGTTCCAAGCCAAAGCCTAGAATATAATAGGTATAAACTTCCTTCTACCCAAGATGAACCCTGTGGCCCAACTCCTTCTCAATCCTCAGTATTGTGTCTCCCAGAGCCTCCTTCCCAGTTACATGAGAAAGCAAATACCATCTCGATGGCCAAGGGTGGTAGCTGAGCTTAATCTGTCTGGCAATAGATCAGAACTTGTATGTACCTTAGACATCATTCAGGAGATTTCACTCCAAGTCAGGAAAAGCCACTAGATAGCTTATACCTTAGAGAGGTCACAAAGTGATTCAAGAAAGGGAGGCCGAGTTCTGTCAGTGGGGTCAGAGCCCTCAACCTGTGGGCATCCACATTCTTAGGTTCTCTTCCCAACTTAACAGGGATTCCATGTGGAAGGACACTTCCAGTGGTCTTAGACCTCCTGTTCCATTCCCTGTCTACAGCAACTGAGTCCTTGGGTGCATACAGGGCTTGAACCCCCAAGGATGTGCATCAAGGAAAGTGAAGAAAGGGCCAGTCAAGCCCGGCAAGCACACATGTGAGCAGCTGGATAATCAAAGCCTTGGAGGTGTCTATTCTATTCCATGCTCCCCGCAAGCAGGTTCTCCCAACATTCAGGGGCTGGCCCCAGATACCAGACACAGAAGATGTCATACTCACTTGAGTAATCCACAAGCATGGGTCTATATCTCGATCAGTTGCCAGGGGCATATTAAGCATCTTGTTTCCAGCTCTGAAATTACCATGAGCTCACTCAGATGAGGCTAAGTCCAGATGGTGAATAGACATAAGTGGTGCAATAGAATCAACAGTTGGTTCATGAACCCAAGTCAGGTAAAGAACTCCCAAGCTTTCCTCCTGCATATAGGCTTATACTTGAGAACCGTAACACTTCAGGGATAAATGCTATGAGTTTTACCTAGAGTTAAGAGTTAAGGTCACTGACATGCCTACAGGAGCAGATCCCAGTTGGGAAGATATTAGTACCAGGTTTTAGAGTCAGCCGAGTCCGAGAAGGTCATGTCCCTTTCAGATCTGGACTTACAGAGTCCATTACTAGAGATTTGGGCTGGAATGTGAATGTCCATCTGAGAGACCACACTCAGGATGGATGCCCTCTGGTGTGATCACCTCACCTGAGATTATAGGTCAACACTAGAACCTGAACCTAAGGGCCAAGCATTGATGCTAGAGCCTCAATTAAGGCTGATAGTTTAGGAAACCCTGGCTGGCCAATTCCCAGGCTCATCCATGGAAGTGATAAGAATGATTGTTTTACTAGATGCCCTCATCTCATCAACACATTCAGCATCTGTCCTTAAGTATAGCAACTGCCAATGCCACAATTTGAAGTCAGGACAGTAATGGATTCTTCCCTCTTGGCTTTCAGTCCTTGAGCTTCTTGGGAAGTGACAGAACCACTGGTTCTTCACCAACATGGCAAATATTGCTCAAAACTTTTACTTTTGGGTAAGAATATTTTCTTATGGAAACAAAATTTTAATACAAACAATTACAATAGAAGGACAAACTTACTGCCTGGAACAGTGAACTCAGCTAGAATACATTGCATCTGTGTGTTTTTTGAATGCTCCAGTAAGCATAACAAAATGTCTTTTAGGTAAGGCTCTAGTTTTTCCTCCAGGGAAGAAAAGATTCTAGATAAGCATGGATGTTTCACCCTAAAGCAATGAAATGTATGGGGTTTTGGATCAAGTTAACCAAGTTCCAGTTTAGGAAACATCTACCAAGTGTAGGCAAATTTAGATGTCAAAAACCACAATACATTTAAAACAATTTACAAATCTAATGTTTTCCAGGAATAGAAGAAACTTAAAAGTTAACTTCATAAGTGGAGATTAAGTTTTCCTAACATCTACGGATGGGGTTTGTAGGTGGATGTTTCTAGATTCTATGTCAACGAAGCAAATAAACTATTCCAGGGTGTTATACATTTATCCCCTTCAGACACAAAACAGGAAGTATCACGATAGAGGAAAGATGCTCATCACCAGGCAGCAGCCCCAGCAATACAACACCCTCACGTGCACCTCTAGAAGACACCCAAGAAGCTCTTCATCTTCACTGACTTCTTGCCAGGGAGCATTCTACCAGGGCCTGCACTCAAGGAACCAGTGAGGAGTCCAGGGTCATAGTCCTGCAAGTTATTCACCATTCTGGGTTAACGGGTCACAGAAATGTAAAGACATGGTTGAGAAAGCTGGTATGGACCATCTCTAAGATCCTACCTTCCTGATAGGTGGCAGAAATGCTTAAAGGTCCTGAAGGTGAAGACTCCACTTGAAATTAGTGCCCACCGTTCACAACATCTTATGTGCACAGAAGAGAAACAGACCCTTTATTGACTAATAAAGTCAAACAGAGGGCCCCCTGGGGCAGTTGGGATAGGATTCCAATATCCACTGACTCAGACCACGAAGTGACAAAAACCAGACTCCTCTGGCCAATACACAAACCTTGGCACTGCCATAGCCCTCCCCCTGCCTGCCTGCTCTGGGCTCAAAAGCCAACCCAGATGGGCCATGAAGAGCGAGGCCCTCCTGAGCTGACCCCACATCAGGACAGCAGCCTTTAGTCTTCATGCCGTCACTTGGCTTTACCTTCTAGAATTCTCAGGAAAGTTAAGGACAGACTAGAGAAGCCCATTGAGAAATTTGGTTTCACTGCAAGTCTTCCAGTCTGTTAGTCTATTTCATCTTTTTACATGTCAGCTACTTCTCAATTTGCATTGGCGGAATAGCCACAGAGGTATTAAGTGGTAACAGATCACATACTTCTCGGGAGGTTGGAGGAAAGAATGTATGAGGCAGTATTTATCCTCCATTATTCACGGCTCAGAGACAGAACTTTTGGGAGGACATGTGAACAGGAGCTGGAAGCCTCTGAGCCGTGGGCATACGCACAATGTCAACCATCCTATATAGGAGGAATAGGACCGGGATAAAAAACCGATTTAAAGGACACTTGTGATACTGACTAGCCACGAATGTTGTGACGCTTGGATCCTCATTTGTGTAGTCAAGAGTTCTGATGCTTAAGAATTGAAAGTTTGAGGACTCATAGGTTTAGTGATATGGGGGCTCAGTTTGATCGAAGCATTCTCTTTAGTAACTTAATACATCACATGTACATATGATGCGTTCCTAAATCTGAGGTCAGGTATTTGCAAAAATGCCACAGAAACAGAGTGGGTAGAAGCATGTAAGACTTGTCATGAGTTATTTGTAGAATATATGAAGACTAAAGCTCCTGTCCTGTTTTTTCTGTAAGAGCTAGAGACTCTTTCCAAGTCACTCAAAAGACCAGTGTGCCCTATAGTCCATGCAGTTTTATGCAAGTCTTACTGTTTTGTGGTACTGACTAGTCCATGCCACTTAGTTCAAAGGAAAAGGAAATCTTGGATGTAGCAAGAATGTCACATTGACTTTCTACATGAATATATTGCTTTATTCTGAAGGTTTTGCTAATCGGTGCCCAAAGGGCCAGCTAAAGGCTCCCACTCATTACAAGTCTGCATTTACACTGGGAGCAGCAGTGTTAAACTCGGGAGTACTTCACTGACATTCAGCAGCTGGTCCACTGACACAGGCAACAGTGGTTGTGAAGAAGTGTTCCCCTATCCAATAGGGTGGGGAATCTAATCCAGGACGACATTGCTAAGCCAGCAAGCTCCTTGCCCAACAAAACTGGGAAGTGTCCATGAAGTCTATGTACTCAGTGAGACTCCAGAGTCCAGATGAAGAATCAAGAAGCAAAGGCACCCACAAGGACATCCTAGGAAGTGGGCGCCCAGGAAGGACTCTGGAGCCCTGCACTCCAGTGAGATTTCCACATTCGCTCCCAGTTGCTAACTCTTACCTATGGAAGGAGTTCACATTTTCTCTGAAGGAACTGCAGAGGGATCCTCCTGAACCAGTCAGATGAGTCTGTGGCATTATTTTGGACTCCAGGGCCTGAGATTGTTTCACCTGCTGAGGTCTGAGGCAGACACTACCTTCTGTTTGTACTCAGATGCCAAGGGAAGTTTCTCAGTGGCCTCTTTACTAAGCACACAGCTGTTTTTGACAAGATTGTCTAGTTAACAAGCAGGGAGAAGAATGCAAGATGCTTCATTCTCTACACTTTAGCTTGACAGTCATGAGCTACAACTCCCACTTGTGACCCAGTTTTGATTGACTTAAAAGTTCCCTGCTGGTCTCCCATCAGGCTCCCAAGGCTTCCCCCTCCAGGAGCCAGGAGGAATCGAGAAGCCTGGAATGCAGAATAGCAGCTTTACAGATTAAGTCAAAACCTAGATCAATAATACAGGCAAGTTCTGTTCCCCTGAAGCAAGTTCTTTTTCCAAGTCCCTCAATTTTGTCTCCCAGATCCCGTTTTTTTTTTTTTTTTTTTTTTTTTGCTATGAAAATATTTTATTAGGTCAAACTACTTGCTATGAAAATGCTTTAAAATGCAGGAGATGTAAAGACTCAAGTGTGTAGTGACAACGGCTATCATAACACACTAAAAAAATTCACACTGCTTCCCCCTTTATCTAGAAAAGGAAGCTTCTAGGCTACCTCCTCCTCCTCCGCACACTCCTCAAACTCCTCCTCCTCAGCTGTGGCGTCTTGGCATTGCTGGTATTCTGACACCAGGTCATTAAGGTTGCTCTCGGCCTCGGTGAACTCCATCTCTTCCATGCCCTCGCCCGTGTACCAGTGCAGGAAGGCCTTGCGCCTGAACATAGCTGTAAACTGCTCAGAGATGCGTTTGAAGAGCTCTTGGATCGCTGTGTTGTTACCAATGAAGGTGGCTGACATTTTTAGCCCCCGGGGTGGGATGTCACAGACGGCTGTTTTCACGTTGTGAGGAAGCCATTCAGCAAAGTAGCTGCTGTTCTTATTTTGAATGTTGAACATTTGCTCATCCACCTCCCTCATGGACATGCGACCTCTAAAAATGGCAGCCACGGTTAGGTAGCGGCCGTGATGGGGGTCACAGGCGGCCATCAGCAGATCTGTGTCTGCTCTGTCATTGCCTTTTGTTCAGAAGCTCCACCTCTGAATGTGGGTAAAGCCACAGGACTGCTTGTGACTTTGGAGGTCTGACTATAGAGACACCGACGGCAGAGCATCTTAACACAAGAGGAAACTCTACCCTGAGGCAGAGGTTCCCAGGCTCCCTGTATTGGGAATTCAATGTGGAAAGATGATCTGTGGCCCATGGACCTCTTTATTCCATTACATGTCCGGACTGAGTCTCTTGGCCATTTAGGTTTCAAGTTGGTGCAAAAGCAATTGTGGCTTTTGCCATTGAAAGTAATGGGACAAAACTCATGACTACTTTTGTGCCAACCTAATACATAGGGCTTCTTTAGCAGCCGACACCAAGGATGAACATGGAGGAGGTAGTCGAGCCTTGCACGTTCACATCTCTACCAACCAGAGCCCAGGTGTCTTCACAGCTATCCCAGTTCTCTCCTTGAACAAGTTGTTCCAGTGTTCAAGAAAAGAGCCCAAGCGACCCAGGAAGCCAGTGGACCTGGACTACACCATGCTGTCTGTAGCAAACAGGCACTTGTCTAATATAATCCCTAGAGACAGAAGACGGTATTTCTGGCTCATACATCCTAGTTCACCCAGATCAAGGTTTTGAAGAATAGCAGTTGGGAAATGACAGTGTCTGATATCACCAGCTGGTTGAGCCCGAGTCAGGCGAGGGACACCCAGCCTCACTCTATATGGCCTCATATTCAAGGGAAGCTTATTCCTACAGAGAAATTCCCTGGTGTTACTGAGGAATAATGCTGAGGTCACTGAGACTTGTTCTTGCTAGTGCAAAGGAAGGTTTCCTGCATATGAATGCCAGGCTGTAAAATCGTAGCCCAGGTACAGATGGGTGAGAAAGCCATGGCCTTTTCAGATCTAGTCCTCTAGGGTCAACAGGAGTTTGACTGGGTTTTTAAGAGTCAGTTTCTCAGTCACCGTCTCAGGATGGATGCTTAGTGCAACTCTGATGTGGCTGTCACCATCCCAGATGCCATAGGGTAAAGGGAGAGCCTAGATAGCAGATCAGACAATGCCGAAGCCCGATTAAGGCTGGCTCAGTTTTGGAAGTCTAGGCTGGCCGAACACCCAGCTCATCCATATGAGCTATGAAAGTAGCAGTTTGCTAGATGCCTTCATCTTACTCTGATCTTGAACACATTTAATAGCTGCTGTTCTACCAAGACCTGCACTCAAGGAACCAGTGGAGTCCAGAGTCAGAGTCCTCCAAAGGGTCATAGTCCTTGTGCTAGGAACTCACCCTCCTGTGCCAAGTCAGATTCTGTTCAATCATCAGAACCCAAGCCCATTTTTTTTTTTAGAGGTGGCAGAAGTACTTGGAAGTTAGAGGTGAAGACCATACCTGGCTGAAGTCAGTATGTCTTGTTTATGCCACGCTTCATACAGATAAAAGACTTTTTATTGGCCAAGCATTTTGAATACATAGGGCTCTGTGGGGAAGCTGTGGCATTTCAAGGCCCCATCATTTGATTCTCAGAGCGCATAACCACGATGAGCCAAGACCAGACTCTAGCAGTGCCAGGGTTGGCTTATTGGCCCAAGGCCCCAACCTCACAGCCTGCTCCAAGCTCAAACAAGCCCAAGTGGACCTTGCTATTCATGAGAAAGATTCCCCCACTTTGAACTGAGGCTGCAATGAGACAGTCCATTCTATCACGGTTTGGCCTTTCAAGGCTTATATCATTGTTAGAGAAGCAAGCAATAAAGCCTGTGAATGCTTATGTCACTGCAAGATCCTCAGCCTCATGTTGAGATCAAAGTCATCTGATGCGTCACCTATGTTTGCCTTGTCTTGACAGTGTAAGAATTTTAAGTAGCGCCTGAGCTAATGTACTCCCCCCACCAACAGGGAGGAGAGGCAGTGTCTGACGTAGCATCCATTCTTTGGGATTTTCATCCTGCATGGTTGGGACGGGTGGACATTCCAGCACTTTGTCTCTTCCATAGAGTGATCTCCCCAAATGGTCTCCAGGGATCTGCAGTTGGGATAGAGGTTTAGTCTTTGAATCTTGACTTGTGAACAGATGAGTTCCTTTCATTATCTCCAGGAAGCTTCAAAGAACAGGGCCATGGCAGATACAGAAATAAGAGGATACTTGATGCAAGGTTGAATTGCAAACTACCCCTTTCTAGCCAGTTCTGATGAACTTCACAGGGAACTTTTTGAGGGTGTCCAGACTTGTGACTACCACCCATGCTAGAAAGACTTGGCTGTAATTACATTTAAGTATTCATATTTGAAAGCAATACCTAGAGATGGCCATTCAGGGAGAGCGCCCCTAGGAGTGAGCAGTTAAAAACTGGCTCTGAAAAGCTCAGGATGGCTAGGAAGTCTAATGGCTGCCCACCTGACCTCCAGGTTGAAAGGACCTCATTCTGAGGGCTGCTTAGACATCACCTTCAAGAAAGGGAACAAATTAGAAACCCTACAGTAGCATCCTCAGCTATTATTTGTCTTTTGATTCCAGAAATATTTGGCTCAGAATACGTGATACTACAAGTGTCTCCTAGAGGTCACAGGTAGATGAGGGGCTCACCTGAGGGGTATCAGGTACGTGATCAGGTCAGTGTCAAGAGAGACTGAGCTTTCCTGTTTCCACATACACTTTCCTCACCCTTATCTAAGGCCAGTAAGTTGTGCTCAAAATTAAGAGTCAGATTTAAGGGGAAGCCTCCTATATTGAGAGGGTCCAGGAAAAGAGACTATCAGAATGGCTCTGAGGTTGCAGCCAAGTTCAGCTACAATTGAAGCACCTGCAGCTAACTCATTGTTTGGCAAAAGTGGTACCTGGTGACTCATCCTATTTTCATCCCGGTACTCGGTGCCACAGTACATAGGAAGCATTGTCTGGGTTCTAGATGGAGTCCCTGTGTTACTCCAAGTTTGACACAGGGTCTTGCTGTTGCCCAGGCTGGAGTGTAACGGCATGATCGTAGCTTAGGGAAGCCTCAACCCCGGGCTCAAGTGATCTTTTTAGTTCAGCCTTCCAAGTAACTGCTACTACAGGTACATGCCACCACACCTGGCTAGGTATTTGGTGGAGACAGGTTTCAACTACTTTGGCCAGGCTGATCATGAACTCAGACTCAAGCAATTTTCCCCAACTTGGCCTCCCAAAGCACCAGAATTCCAGGGATGAGCCACTGTACCCAGCCTCCAAGTTTTGGGTGAAGATGTTCTCAAATGAAAAAAAGTTAAAACAGGAGAGCAAGATACCCAACTATTCCAGGAAATAGTGAAGAGATCTTTAGAGGGACATATGGAGCAGAGGAACATGGGGCCACTGAAGGGATGAGAGATCTACAGAGTATCAGCCATTTTTTTAGGAAATAGCATAGCCAGGAAACAAGATGAAAACTACGATTTAAAAGGGACATTTGTCATAGGAACCAGCCACAGATATGGGCAATTCGGATCCTGACTAAAGTAGTCCAGGGGAATTACAAGTGTAACAATTTGATTTACAGGTTATTTCATACCAAAAAGTTAGTGGAATTCTTTCATATGTCAAAAGGTACTATGATTACAATCAGCTTATAATAGACCAAAAAAAAAAAAAAAAACAAGAGTCAATCACTGACTGAGTCGGGCTCACTTGAGGGGTAGAACTTCTGTTCTATGTGGTTGATGCCTTCTTCAAGAGTATGTCAAGTCACCACAGGACCCTTTTCATGTCACCCAGTGGCCCAGTGCATCATGTAACGCCACCTAATTTTGCACAATCCCCCCAGAACATTGCCTTCCTTGAGGTTATGACTTACCCATTATGCCATGAACCTTAAGGAAACGGCCACCTCCTTGGTGTTGCACGAGTTCAATATTGACATTCTATATTAAAATGCAGCCTTAGACAGTACTGTTTGCTGTTACTAACAGTGTCCGGAGCATCAGATAGGGACTCCTATTCATGGGTGTTCATTTATGCTGGCAAAGCAAAGGCAAACCAGAAGAGGTGTCCATGAACATTCATCATCCAGTCCATCTGACACAGTGGCAAGGACAAGGTGTCCTACACCTCCTGTAGGAGAAATACAGCCTGAACAGTGTTGGCATAAGTGATAGACCTGCCAGACATGTAGCTTCTGCCAATTCTGTACCCACAGGTGGATTCCATAAAGTGGGAGAGAGAATGCAGAGCAGTGATACCCAGTGACAGAGGCACAGTACAGGAGCCCTGTAGTCCCTATGGGTCAATATTCATGCCCTTAGTAGCCAAATTACTTATCATTGGAGAAATAAGTTTAAGATTTCTAAGAAACAAGGGGACCCAGAGAGACTGGTAAGGTGAGACTAACAGCCCTTTTTCTGTACTGTGAGTCCTGAGGTTCAGCCCTCCATGTTGGGGCCTCAGGCAGATGCTACCCCTTCTGAGCCTCAGCCTGTGCCTAGATGCTGAGAGCAATTCCTTAAAGACTAAGGAATGTTACTGTGAAACTACATTTCAGGATTTAACAAGCATAGAAGATAGATGTAGAATGTTGAAGATATAAGAGTAAAAAGTTTCATCACTTTCCGTTTCTAGGCTGAGTAATGAGATGTGATCCCATCCAACCTGATACAGCTTAGTTCAATGCCAAGGCGACCACAAGGAAGCCAGAGAAGAATGTAAGTGTAGTTTCAGCTTTAAGTCAAAAGCTAGAATGCAGTTTCTCCCACCTGACAAACCCATACCAATGGAGGGGGCTCCAGGAGATGGTATGTGGAGTGAGAATCTTAATTGAAGTGCCACAATGGTCAATGGTGACACAACTAAGCTTTTGTCTCATGAATCAAGACCATATGTATCTGAATTGTCATTCTGTCATTTGGGAGCTCCCGAACCTAGGAAAGGGCTGCACATGACCTTCCACCAAGTTTACACACCCAGGAAACCTCCCCAGTCCAGGTGAGGAAGAACCAACCAAGCATTGG